AACTGGTGAATGAAAGTCTGGAATCTATGATTCCACAACATTGCATCATTAGCAAAGAAATGGAAGGAGTTGAAAGAAAGCCGAAAGCCAAAATAAAACAGCTCATTGATATCTGTGATATGCATTAGTGCCAAAACTGTACTTTGATTTTCTTTATCCTTCCCCACACATAGTATTTGTGTCTTGCCTTATCTTTTTGTGTATCTGTTTGTATGTGGATGGGATTTTAAAAACAGCTGTAGAGTTTAAGTCAAGGGGTAATAAGTTAATAATTCATGTTTCTTTCTTGCCATTAGTTTAAAAACTTCAGTTATAAGAAATAGTTATTTTTCTTGTCAATGCGAAAAACTTGGGGTGCGTATTCTTTTAACCTGAATCAGACAGTTAGGTAAAATTGGGCAATTAATCAAATTTTCATGTTTGCGATGACTCCAGGAATAGTCTTGATTTCTGGTACACTACTCCAATGAGTCATGACAACAAGGAAATACTCCTGCGCCTATTTCTAATGTTACATTCATAAATTAAGAAGTTAATTTAGTTATTTGTCAAATTAGTACTTTTAGTACAACTTATTAGTAGTTATGTCCTAGAACCTCCTCCCTAATGGTGTTGTGGCTATACCTGCACCAAATAGACTGCAACAGTTCAAGAAGGCAACTCGCTACCACCTTACAAAGGGCAAGTAAAGATGGGAAATAAATACTATCTCAGTCAGTGACGCCCATATCCCATAAATGAATTTAAAAAAAACATTTTCCTTCTTTTTAAGAAATAAGTCAATTAAAAGTATAATTAAAGAGACTTGCTTTCTCACAGGATGTTTATGCTCCTTTGTGTTGGTTGAATCAGGAAAGCTAAGAATTTTTATATTAGCATTGCCAGGGATCCAGAGTGACACACTGTGAAAGCAGGACCGGAAGCAGCTCTTAAATAAATGTGCTAATACTTGTTGATTAACCAAATATGACATGCTGCTTCACATTTTAACTATCTAAGCAGGATTAGTTAAGGAATGTAAAAGTTGAATTAGGTTATTGTACATTGAGAGCAGCAGCAAGCCAGTAGCAAGGAACACTAATTGTTATTACAGATGTGTTAGGATTTGATATGGCAGTTACAAAATGGAACATTGATTCATCAAAGGAATATTGGGGTTATAAATTCTGCCTGCTCTTATCCTTACAAGGAGAAAGATTTTGCTAGCACTGGGAGGAAGCATCTGTTGTATCAGTGAGTAGTTGGTAAAAGGTGGAAAAGAATGAGAAGTATGTTTCCATTCTGCAGTTTGTCTGCACTGTGCTACCGTATAATGATGGAAAAATGTTGTACCCAAGGCTTACCAAAAACCTGGTTTCAATCTTATTTTATTTCCTCTGAGAATATCTTTCTGTTTTGTTGAAATGCCTAAGATAGATTTGTTCAGTCTAGATAATGTCTCCTAAGAGATAAAGCAAAAAGTGTGTGTGAATGTTGAAATCTCACTTTATTCGTTTTGTAATATATTTGTGGAATAGCTATTTACTGACCTGTATGTGTTGAGGAATTACATTTAGCTACTGGAAAAAAAGAAACTGTTAGAAAGAAGATTTTGACATTTTAAGTAGATCACAATATTTAAAAAGAGAAAATAGAACTCTTGGTTCAGAATCTAGATGCATTAAATTCAACAGGAAGTGGTTAGATGAGGTAAATAATATTACAAGACCTTAGTGGAGCATAGTTGGACTGCAATGCACAGACACTGTTGTGAAAAAGATGGAATATTTGCACCATTGATCATAAAATCATAATAATTGGCCTTTCAGTTGACATGATCTATACTCCACATTTTTTTCTATTATTTGTTGATGGGATGTAGTTGTCACTGGCATGGCCAGGATATGTTGCACATCCCTAACTGGCCTTGAATTGTATGGGTTGCTTGACCATTTCACATTGCTTTGAGTCTGGGTTTGCTTTAACCCAGAGCAAGTAAGGATAGTAATTGCATTTCCTACAGCTGCTGTGGTGGAATTTGAGCCTGTGTCTCTAGTGCAATACAGGCTTTCTAGAAATATTGTCCAGGTGCTGATTATCTTTCTGCAGTTTTTTTCCATTTAAACAATACTGTTCTTTTGTTCTCCCTTCCAAAATGAACAACTTCACAATTTCTCACAATATACTCTAATTGCTAACTTTTTGCCCACTTACTTAACCTAACCTAGTTTTGTACAGTGTGATTAACTAAGGTAAAGCTCTCGCTAAAAGTGTGGATGTGGACTCTGTTGGAAGATAGTTCTTCTCTAATGCATAATGTCTTCTGTACCCTCAGTGACCTAAGATCCCAATTCCCTCCCTAAATTGTTCTGTCTCTCTAGTTGTCTCACCTCTTTCAAATCTTTGCTACTTAAAATCTACTTTGTTGAACAAGTTTTTGATCACCTGTCTTGATTTCTCCTTATGTAGACCAGTGTCAAATTTTGTTTGATTACTGTCCTGTGAAGTGTCTTGTGATGTTTTTCTAAGGTAAAGGATAAAGATTGGCAGTTGTTTTCGGCGTTGTTCTATACATATGAGAAAAAAAAGGTTAGTATGACAGAAGCCCTTCGGACCATGGAACATTCAAAGCATTATCTATATTATTGAGACATTCCGAAGGAAGATTCAGCATGATTTTTTCTGTTTTCTCTCCACTCGAGGTAATTTATAAAACAATTATGAGGTCGTCTATTCAGCCCTGGCTGTTAGGAGCATAGGACATGAGAAGATAGGATTTCAGAGTAGGAGATTGGCCCTCTGAGCCTGTGCTCCTATTCAATAAAATCATTGCTAATCCGGTTTTGGTGTTATCTTTACTCTCTTTTCTGCTCACCATAACACTTGACTCCCTTGTCTATTTGTTTGTTTTGCACATATGAGGTTGGGTTAATCCCAACACTCAGAATTTCATGGGATGTTATGTTTATACTTAGTCTTAATTCTAAGCAAATCCTTATTCAGCTATTTTCTTGAAGGTGCCAATGAACAAGTACTAAGTACTTTTGGTAATAGCCTGTTGTACATGTCCACTACTTTGTGGAGAAAGAAAAGCACACAGTTAAGATAGATAACATTCGTAATATTACACTACGCATGCACCAGCAGTCTGAAACCAGCATCGTGTATTCCTTCCATTAATATTAGTAATAAAAAAAGCCAGAAATACTCAGCAGGTGAGGCAGCATGTATGGAAGAAGAAAGAGAGTTAAGGTTTTAGGTTGCTAACCTTTCATCAGAACCCACATATCTGCGATACTTTGCTTTTCTATTAACATTATGATGCCTCTGAAAAATCCCTTCAAAAATCTTTTTCTGAAATGTGGCTCTTTGCCTTTCTAAAGGTAAATAATAACTTGCTGTAATGATTTAATCTGAGAGCATATTATTTAGCTAATGTTAATAGTTAATATTATGTTAATAATATTTTGATGACATGCTCATTTTAACACGACAAGGAATTGGAGTAGTAGTAGACATTTAACCCTCTGATCCTTTTCCATCATTCAGTTAGATCATGTGTTATTACCTACTTCAAACAATTTCCCTGCACAATCCTGCATCCGAAAATTATCTGTCTCAATCTGCCCCTCCGGAGCAGAGAATTCCAAAAAGATTCACCATCCTCTAAGTGAGAAATTTGCTCTTTATCTCAGACCTAAAATGCCTACCTCTCACTCTGTCATCTGGTACTCAACATGCCCCAAGCCATCCTTCTTGCATCTACCCTATCAAGCTCTGTAAGAGTTAGCGTGTTTGAATGAGATTTTCTTCAGAGAAAAAGATCTAGTCTATCTAACCTTTCCTCATACGATAGTCCCTTCGTCCCAGGAATTAGCTTGGTGAGCCTCTATTGCACACTCTTTATGGCAAGTATACCTTTCCTTGGGTGAGGAGACCGAAACTGCACATAGCATTCCAGATGTAATCTTACAAGGTTCTGTATAATTGCAGTATGAAATTTGTGCACTCATACTCGAATGTTCTGGTAAGAAAAGGCTAACAAACCAATATCTGGTACTGAAGTAGACTCATATGGGACTTGAACCATGAACTCTGTGTTTCTCTCTCCACAGTTGCTGCCAGACCTGTTGCGTTTCTTCAGCATTTCTGTGTTAATATCAATATCTTAATTGTTTGCTATATCTGCATGCTAACTTGCAATAACTGATGAACGAGAATAGCCCAGTCCCTTTTAAGTTCAACATGTCCTGGTCTCTCAGCATTTAAGAAATACTGTGTTTTCTGGTTTTTTTCCTATCAAAGTGGATAACCTTAAATATTCCATATTATATTTCCATCTGCCAGTTTTTTTTGCCCCCTGTCTTGCCTCTCCAAATCCTCTTGAAGTGTTTTTGCATGCCCTTCACAGTTCATGCTTCTACTTAGTTTGATGCTATATGCAAACTTGGATAATTCCTACATCCAAATCATCGATATAAATTGTGACTAGCCAAGAAATGGTCCTTACAGCACCCCATTAGTCAGAGCATGCATACCTGAAAATAACTTACTTATTCCTACTTTCTATTTTCAGTCCATTTGTTCTCAATCTGTGCTGGTATATTCCCCAAATCCCAGAATCAAGCCCACCTGCCCCAGGGGTGTATAACAACTCTGAGCAGGTTTATTTGAAAATATCCATTCTCTCAATCCCTTGTTCACTAACCACTTGTATGGTACCTTACTGAAGGCTTTCTGAAAATCTAAATAAGGGTTATTGTTGTGCAGTGGTAGTGTCTCTGAGTCAGGAGACCTGGGTTCAAGTCTTACTTACTCCAGATGTGTGTGATAACATCTGTGGTTAGAAAATATCTATAACATTCACCAGTTCTCCCTTTTCTATTCTGTTAATTATATCATCAAAATTTTTGTTCGTTTTCCCTGTACAATTAGGATATTCTGTTTAAACATTAATTCACAGTCATGATAACTGATATTTATCAATAATCTATTTATGTGTTATCTCCATCTTGTTTTAGGGTTCAGTATTTTGTACCCAAGCTTCTGAATCCTATAATCTCTTCCTGACAACGGCTGTAACTGATGGAATCAAACTGTGGGATTTACGGACAGTAAGGTAAGAAAATATTTTTAGTGGAATTAATTGTCATATCCCTTGTAAAAATAGGCTTCACATGATATAGGGATACTAACTTTAAGTGTGATGAATACTTCTAGAAATAAGGTTCATGCATTGTTGATTAACTGAATTATTGATTTAGACAATGCAAAGTATTTCTCCTATGTATTGTTGAAAAAAGACGCATTTGGAACAACATTTTTATATGTACGAGAGGAACATCTTGATTGATTGGCAAGTGGTCTCTGATTGATAGAGATGGAGAATGCATGATGACTGACAGTTAACTGCCAAGCTTTATTTAAATTTAAACCAGGCAGATTGACTCAGATTAATTAAGGCATTGCCTTGAGGAATGAACTAGGATGTGACTGTTGCCTGTTTGGTTGTAACAGGTACATTGTACATACATGTTCTTCATGTCTGCAAAGGACAGGGCCCCGTGTAGGTTTCATTATGTACAAGTATGTCTCTCTGTGAGTCCAAATGAAAGACTTAAATTCGTTGTCAGCATAACTCTTAGCACATCAAGGATTATATAGCAAATATTGTCCCATTGTAGAATCACTCCCAATGTTGGATAACGATTTGCAAGCACAGGATATTCGGCATGGTTAGTACACTGCCTGTTGTGAACACCTGAAGGGAAAGGCTGTTTGATTTTATTCACCATGCTATGGAACATATGGCCTATATACATGGCATCACTTTGGCACTGAAATTATTGTACCACATCATTCATCTGTGTGACAGGTATGATATCTGTTTAGCTTGACAGCAGCATCCCGAAAGAGGCCAACACCACTCCGTTACTGAACAGCAAACCAAAGTCAGCAAAAAACGTCTACCTTCACCTGTTGCTCAAATTTTCAAGAACTCACTTTTTAACTGAACAAAATAAGTAACAGCTATTCTCTGGTTCGTTTCTAAGGAGTATGTCTTGACTGGTTGGAGTCAAACTACTAGTTTAAATTTAAACAAAGTTTGACTGTTAACTATCAACATCATTTAACTTGTGCATTCTCCATGGTAATCCCTCTGCAGTCAGTATCCACTTGCCAATCTTGCTGCATGCTATTCTATCGCAGTATAAAAATGTTCCCCTTCACATTTATATTTTTGCAAATTATCCTGCATGAGTGCAAAAAAAATGCCTTGACAAATATGTGTTTTTCTCTGTAACACTCAAGTTCCCAAATGACTATTTATATCCCTTCTAAATTAACTTAAAAGCTCTTACCATGTTGTGATGCTGTACTGCCCTTCATTTCCACTAGTGTTTCAGGCAAGTTTTATTATTGAGGAATTTCACTGGTTTGTACAGAACATACCTTAATCTTTAATTCACTCTGAAGTTGCTGTTTGCTTGCTATTTTACTTTCAGTTAACATGGAAGTCAAAATTAGTTTACTTACAAAATGCTAATTTCAAACAATCATGATCACTGATAATTTGTGGAAGTTGATAAAGACATTGCACTTCACTTTATCTGAATGCTGGTAGCATTCGAACCAAAATAGATGAGTTAACGGCACAAATTATTGTGAATGAGTATGATTTAGTAGTCGTTATGGAGACATGGTTGTAGGATGGTTACGACTGGGAATTAAATATCCAGGGGTATCAGACTATTCGGAAAGACAGACAGGAAGATAAGGGAGGTGGTATAGCTCTGATATTTAAGGATGACATCAGGATGGTAGTGAGAGATGATTTAGGTTCTATGGAGAATAAAGTTGAATCCATCTGGGTGGAAATTAGAAATTCTAAGAAGAAAAAGTCACTGACAGGTGTAGTCTATAGGCCACCAAATAATAACATCACAATAGGGCGGGCAATAAACAAAGAAATAACGAATGCCTGTAAAAATGATACGGCAATTATCATGGGGGATTTTAATCTAAATGTTGGTTGGTTGAACCAAGTCGGTCAGGGCAGCTTGAGGAGTTCATTGAATGTATGCGCGACAGTTTTCTTGAACAGTATGTAATGGAACCAACGAGAGAGCAAGCTATCTTAGATCTGGTCCTGTGTAATGGGACGGGAATAATTAATGATCGCATAGTTAGGGATCCTCTTGGAAGGGACAATCACAGTTGGTTGAATTTAGAATACAGATGGAAAATGAGAAGATAAAATCCAATACAAGGGTCCTGTGCTTAAACAGAGGAGACTACAATAGGATAAGGGAGGAGTTGGCTAAAGTAGCCTGAATTGGGAAAACTTTAAAGGTCAATTGAAAGCCACAATAAAAAGCTGTAACGTAAAAGAAGATAGATTTTGAGAGTAAACTAGCTCAGAATATATGGACAGATAGCAAAAGTTTCTACAAATATATAAAACAAAAAAGAGTGGCTAAGGTAAACATTGGTCCTTTGGTGGATGAGAAGGGGGATTTAATAATGGGAGATGAGGAAATAGCCAAAGCATTGAACAGATATTTTGTGTCAGTCTTCACAGTGGAGGACACAAATAACATGCCAGTAATTGATGGCAAGGAGTCCAAGGTAGATGAGGACCTAGAAATGATTATTATCATGAAAGAGGTAACGTTGGGCAAGCTAATGGAGCCAAAGGTAGACAAGTCTCCTGGCCCTGATGGAATGCATCCCAGGGTACTAAAAGAAATGGTGGGAGAAATAGAAAATGCACCCATGGTAATTTTCCAAAATTCACTAGACTCTGGGCAGTTCCAGCAGATTGGAAAACAGCAAATGTGACACCACTGTTTAAAAAAGGAGGTAGACAAAAGATGGGGAATTATAGGCCGGTTAGTTTAACTTCTGTAGTGGGGAAAGTGTTCGAATTTATCACCAAGCAACAAATAGCAAGACATCTAGATAGAAGTTGCCCCATTGAGCAGATGCAGCATGGGTTCATGAAGGGCATGTCATGTATAACTAATTTACTGGAATTCTATGAAGACATTATGAGTGCGGTAGACAATGGGAACCCAGTAGATGTGAAGTGTCTAGTTTTCCAAAAGGCATTTGACAAGGTGCCGCACAAAAGGCTGCTGCATAAGACAAAGGTGCATGGCATTAAGGGCAATGTATTAGCATGAATGAAGGATTGGTTAACTAACAGAAAGCAAAGAGCGGGGATAAATGAATGCTTTTCCGGTTGGCGATCGACGACTAGTGGTATGCCTCAGGGATCAGCGTTGGGCCTGCAATTGTTTACAATTTACATGGATGTTTTGGAGTTGGGGACCGCATGTACTGTGTCAAAATTTGCGGATGACACTAAGATGAGTGGTAACAACATATGCAGAGGACTCTGAAAGTTTGCAGTGGGACATTGTTTAAGTGAGTGGGCAAAGGTCTGGCAGATGGAGTATAATGTTGATAAATGTGAATTCATCCATTTTGGTAGGAATGGCAGTAGAAAGGACTATTATTTGAATGATAACTTGCAGCATGCTGCTGTGCAGAGGAACCTGGGTGTCCTTGTGCATGAATTGCAGAAGGTTGGTTTGCAGGTGCAACAGGTAGTTAAGATGGCAAATGGAATTTAGGGATTGAGTTTAAAAGCAGGGAGGTTATGTTATAGCTGTATAAGGTGCTGGTGAGGCCACACCTGGAGTACTGCGTGCCGTTTTGGTCTCCTTACTTGAGAAAGGATGTACTGGCACTGGGGTGCAGAGATGATTCACTAGGTTGATTCTGGAGTTGAGAGGATTGGCTTATGAGGAGAGACTGAGTAGACTGGGATTATATTCATTGGAATTTAGAAGAATGAGGAGAGATCTTATAGAAACATATAAAATTATGAAGGGAATAGATAAGATAGAAGCAGGGAGGATGTTTTCACTGGCAGGTGAAACTAGAACAAGAGGGCATACCCTCAAAATGAGGGGGAGCAGATTTAGGACTGAATTGAGGAGGAACTTCTTCACCCAAAGGGTTGTGATTCTCTGGAATTCCCTGCCCAGTGGTGTAGTTGAGGCTTCCTCATTGAATGTTTTTAAAGCTAAGATGGATAATTTTTTTGAACAAAAAAGGAGTTAAGGCTTATGATGAGACAGTGGGAAAGTGGAAATGAGGTCATGAAAAGATCAACCATGGTCTTATTGAATGATGGAGCAGGCAATCGAAGATTGCCTACTCCTGCTCCTGGTTCTTATGTTCTTCAAGTTATGTTTAAACCCTGCAGTTGTAGTCATATTGATACAAGAAATCAGTTTATATTTGTTGAATTTATTTTAAAAATACTCAGAAGTCTAGGTACTTGCGCTGTTAAACTAACAAATGGAACAATATAGTGCTTGATGCAATTTCTGTAGTTTATTCGAAGAGGATAGGTTGGGTGCTTTTCAGTAATTTATGGTGTTTTACTTTGAGCTGGTGTAATTGGCCATAATCATTATCATTTCTGTCATGATGTGCTTGACCACTATCTTTGGACTGTGGCAGTTCTGACAGGCTGGATTGCCAGGCAATTGATAGTCTCGTACTTCATGTAATCGGAGCCTACTCAGTCATGTATTCAGCCATTTAATGAAAGGAAAAGCAAAATACAACGATAATAAATATGTTCAACCACAAAATGATTAAACCTGTAAAATCTGTCAACATTTCCGCGGAAATGTGTACGCACATGCTAGCAATGAGACCAATAACACAATCTCCCTGTTCTGGCCTCTTAATTGGCCATTTTTCCACTCGCAGACTTAAAGCCCAAACAGAAGATAAGGAGCCCTAGGACCTCTGCAGCCCACCAGGAGAGGTGGATGCTGCTGAGGCAGGTTGGGAACAAGCAAAGTATCTCAAACTGTAGGTGCCCATAAAGAATGAATGTAGAGAAAAGATTGTGCACCAGAGCCCTTCTGCCACTCAGATGGAAGCAGAAATTCTTCCAGATGAATTGTTTGGATTGCAAATTTAAAGAAGCATATTCACTGATGGGTGTCGCTGGCTGATCAACATTTATTGCGTATCACTAGTTGCCCTTAAGAAGATGGTGGGGAGCTGCATTCTTCAACCACTGCAGTCCAT